ACTGGGGGGGGCACTGGGGGGGCACTGGGAGGCACTGGGGGGGGCACTGGGGGGGCACTGGTGTGCCACGGACGTGTGACCGGCGTCTTACCGGAGTGTTGTTGGGGTGTAAGCGGCGTGTTATTGGTGTTACTGGGATGTAACTGGCGTGTCGCTGGTGTTACTGGGGTGTAAGCGGCATGTTATTGGTGTTACTGGGGTGTTATTGGTGTTACTGGGGTGTAACTGGCGTGTCGCTGGTGTTACTGGTGTGTCACCGGAGTGTTACTGGGGTGCAAGCGCCGTGTTATTGGTGTTACTGGGGTGTTATTGGTGTTACTGGGGTGTCACTGTGGTGTTACTGGGATGTAACTGGCGTGTTGCTGGTGTTACTGGGGTGTAAGCGGCATGTTATTGGTGTTACTGGGGTGTTATTGGTGTTACTGGGGTGTTATTGGTGTTACTGGGGTGTAACTGGCATGTCGCTGGTGTTACTGGTGTGTCACTGGAGTGTTACTGGGGTGCAAGCGCCGTGTTATTGGTGTTACTGGGGTGTTATTGCTGTTACTGGGGTGTCACTGTGGTGTTACTGGTGTTACTGGGATGTAACTGGCGTGTCGCTGGTGTGTCACTGGAGTGTTACGGGCATGTTTACTGGGATGTAATTGGCGTGTTACTGGTGTGTTACTGTTGTAACTGGTGTGTCACTGGAGTGTTATGGGCATGTTTACTGGGATGTAACTGGCGTGTCACTGGTGTTACTGGCCTGTTACTGGTGTGTTACTGGTGTGTCACTGGAGTGTTACTGGGATGTAAGTGGTGTGTCACTGGTGTCACTGGGGTGTTACTGGTGTAACTGGAGTGTCAGTGGTGTCGTTGATGTGTTACTGATGTGTAGCTGGTGTATTATTGGTGTGTCACTGGTGTGTCACTGGTGTGTCACTGGAGTGTTACTGGAGTGTTACTGGGGTGTAAGTGGCGTGTTGTTGGTGTTACTGGAGTGTTACTGGTGTCACTGGTGTGTCACTGGTGTCATTGGTGTGTTACTGGTGTGTTACTGGGGTGTGAGTGCTGTGTTATCGATGTTACTGGCCTGTTACTGGTATAACTGGTGTGTCACTGGAGTGTTATGGGGGTGTTACTGGGGTGTAAGTGGGGTGTTAGTGCTGTAACTGGCGTATAACTGGTATGTTACTGGTGTGCTGCTGGAGTGTTACTGGGGTGTAACTTGCATGTTACTGGAGTGTCACTGGTATGTTACTGGTGTTATTGGCATGTTACTGGTGTGTAACTGGTGTGTAACTGGTGTATGACTGGTGTTACTGGGGTATAAGTGGTGTGTTATTGGTGTAGCTGGGATGTTGCTGGTGTATTACTGGACTGTTACTGGCATGTTGCTGGGGTGTAACTGGTGTGTTACTGGTGTGTTACTGGTGTGTTACTGGCATGACTGGGAGCGGAGTGTGTCAGGGATGTTCCACTGGGTGGTTAATTATTGAATTAATCGACTGATAATCCCAGTTGTGCTGGCACCACTTGGAGGGCTTTTCCAACCCCAGCGATTCCCTGATTCCCATTCCCTGCTTTGGGGGGTCTGTGTTACCTCTCCAGAGAGCTGCTCGTTCCACTGCCATCATATTCTGAGTCTTTACCCCTTTCCAAACCTTCTGGGAAAGGTTTCATTTCCGGACCTGGAAAATGAAGCTGGATTCATTTCTCTCCATACGGATGCAGCGAGGGAGCCTGAAGTAAACTTTGGGTGCAGAACTTGGGATAAGCTTGGGCACAAATGTCACGTTTCTTGGGCTTCAAACGAGCAGAACACCCACAGGGACTGTTCCTTTAAGGAAATAAGGATTTCCAGCTGCCCAGGAGAGGCGGAAGGGAAGCCTGGGCCGGTTTCTGCTGAGCTCACCGTGCTCAAACGGCTCCTTTATTGCACTCGGGCAGTTTGCAACTCCCAGGGTTGCAACACCTCCCTTTCGGGCTTCAAACCAGCACCAACGTGATGGATGCCCTTTGCTTTCTGTAAGAGGATTTCTGGAAATGCAGGCAGTGCCCTCCTGGCACAGGCTTGGAATCTTCTGGGCCGGGAGAGGTACTTGGGAACAAGAGATTGACCCCACGGCCCCCCTGTTTCTGATGTTCTGGTTTTTCTGTGCCCTTACAATAGGAATTCTTCCCTGGGAGGGTGGTGAGGTGCTGGAATGGATTTCCCAGAGAAGCTGTGGCTGCCCCATCCCTGGAAGTGTCCAAGGCCAGGTTGGACGGGGCTTGGAGCAACCTGGGCTGGTGGGAGGTGTCCCTGCCCATGGCAGGGGTGGAATGAGATGGGTTTTAAGGTCCCTTCCAACCCAAACCAGTCTGGGAGTCTGTGGTTCTTGACTCCCTGAGAGCTGCCAATCCCTCCTGGCCCTGCTGAGGGGCTCTTTGGATCTGTGGTGTTTTCTGGGGGCCTGAGGAGTGCATCCTTTTTCTCCCTTCCCTCCTCATTTGGAGCCTTTCCATGCCAGGCCCACCTGGTATCTCCCGAGTGAGTTTTTCTTTTAGGAAGGTTTGCTCTTGGCTACTTCCAGCCATTTAATATAGTGAGTTTAAACAGAAAACAGTTCTGCAAAGGGGTGGATTATAATGGATTTCATTCCTGACTTTTGTAACCACTGGGGAGGGACATCTCTGACAGGTTTGTGTTACTAACACGAGTGTTACAGGGCTGGGGAGGTGCTGCTCAGGGAGAAAAATGCTCCTTGTTCATCTGTTCTACTTCATTTAGGCCCTTCTGCTCTAACTGGGGGCTTTGTCATGGCAGAGCAAGGCTGTTGTCTCCTGAGTAAGGTGAGGGAATCCCGGGAATCGAGGATTGCGGGATCCTACAGTGACAGTGAGTGTCACCTCACTGGGGTGAATCCTGCAAATATCCAATATGAACTGAGTGGAGACATGTGGCAGTTGTCTAACTCACTTTATAATCCCTCAGCTGCCCCGCTCTGGGAGTTAAGGTTCCCCTCTGCTCTGTGGGCTCTGCAGCCCTGAGGTCTCTCGTGGTGTGTGTGACAGGGGGAGGCTTTGGGGCTGTGTTTCCTTGGACAGCTGCTCCTTTATGCCAGCCCTGCTGGGTGGCTGCAGTGGGCAGACGTGCCTTTCCTGGTGCTGGGCAGTCACCTGATTGCTCAAGAGGCTTAGTGGTGTTTGTGGTTCCAGGCTGTGACCTGGTGTTGCACCACGGGCCTGGTGCAGCCTGGCCTGGCCAAAGCCTGTGTGTCCTGGTGGATCCAGAGGGACAGGACTGGGCAGGGAATTCCCTCAGGTTCCTTAGTGCTGCTGTAACTGGTCACAAATTCCCTGGCTTGTGTTCTTCCTTGTTGGCAAAGCTGGGATTGGTGGCACCTGCAGAGCTCAGGTGTGGAGTGAGTGGAAGCTGGAACAAAGTGCAGTTTGTGTCCTCTGGATAAATCAAAGCTACTGTGGCGGGGGGATGAGTTTAAGCTTGTACAGAATCTCTCCTGAAGGCCAGGACAGTTGAACTTATTGTTTTTTGGGCCACAGTTGTTGCTTTTTGGCTGGGAAAATGTGCTCTCTGTGGCCTGGTCAGACAGGAGGGAGCTGAGGTCTGTGATCAGCAGAAACCAGGACCAGCTGTGTGCTGACAGTTAATCCTTGCTCTGTACCAGATCCCAATCCCAGAATCGCAGAGTGGTTTGGGTTGGAAGGGGCTTTAAACCCCATCTCATCCCACCCCCTGCCATGGGCAGGGACACCTTCCACCAGCCCGGGTTGCTCCGACCCGGCCGTGGATGTTTCCAGGGCTGGGGCAGCCACAGCTTCCCTGGCTGTGTTGCTGCCTTTCTCTGGGCTGTGAGCAGCATTTAACATGATTTTTCTGAGGTTTGGTTTTGTTTCATCCTTGTAAACTCATTGGGTCTGGTTTTTGCCTCGTCCTCTGTCACAGCTTCTTCAGGTGGAGGTTCCTGCAGGAAGGTTCCAAAGAGTTGCTTATTCCTTTTTATGTGTCAGCTCTGAGTAATCTCCCCTTTGGCTCTTTTTTCAGCTCAAAATGCTCCTGTCTTAAATAATATTGTGAGCATCAGGCTGAACTTTTGGTCTCTTTAGGTCTGTGGAGGGGGGGGACTTGTGATTAGTAATTTACTCATGCTTAACTAGGGGTAGGTGAGCCTTGCCTTGGAGCACTTCTTGGTGACCCTCACACTCCAATGTCTGCAGCCCCCTGGTTTGAAGAGCTGACAGGTCAGCAAAATATCCCTGGAATCTGCTTTTCCTGCTCTGGTGCAATCAGCGCGTGGTTGATTCGGCAACTTAAGAAACGAGCCCAGCCCAAAGGCCAGGCTGGCAGTGCCAAAGGTGGCAGGATGTCAGAGCTCAGGGCTGCTCACCCCCCCTGCGTGGGTTGGGAGTGAGCAGGTCACTCAGCCTGGGAGCTCTTCCAGGGCAGATTCCTGGAAGGAATTAGGAATTTGGGGTAGCGGGGCAGCCCTGCAATGCTCTGGCAGGTGGGGTTGGGGGGGTTATATTTTCTAAGAGGTTTTGCAGTGACTTGGCTCTACCTGTCATGGGATGTTCTTGGTAGTTCCAGCGTTGCAAGAGATGCTGGCAGTGGGTTTGTGAACTCCTTGAAGGCCCTGGCTGTGAGCTGGGAGCACTGGAATTTCACAGGCCTTTGCTTAATCAGCTCTTAATTGTTCCATGTATGAGAAGAGTCCTGTGAGAGCCCCAACCCCAACTGGACCCTGGGTCTGACTTGGGGGGTCACCTGCTTTGCTGCTTGAAGGTATTACTTCCTCTTCAAGTATTTTTCCCTGGAAAAAAAACCAGTCTTGAGCTTGTGGAGTCAGTGAATGTCTGTTCTGGCTGTGTGGAGTCAGACCAGCTCTGGCTGGGGGGAGTGGAAGAACAGGAGAAACTCGTGATAAATTCTGCTCCAGGGTGATATTTGTTTGATGGTGATTCTTTTCCTCCATCAACTGTTTTTTCTGGCCTCATGTGAACACTTTTCCTCCCTGATAACCTGTGGGAACTCTTCAGGGGATGTGTTGTGTGAAGAACTTGCCTCTGCTGGAACCTGTTCTTGACCTTTGTTTCCATATCTGTTGCAGGCAGTGAGTGATCACCACTTTCTTCCCTGCTTTTTATCGTTTCTCCTTGGATATCTTTGTGCTGAGGAGTTTCCTTAGGAAGTGTGTCAGGGGAAAGCTGTTCCCTTGCTTTTCCAGGCCCTGTTACCTCCCCAGCTATCTTCAGGTGGATATGGATGTTTAATGGACCATGATAAGCACGACTGTCCTTGAAGGTCTTACAGAGAAAAGATTTTTGTCAGTGGTTCTGCCAGGCTGGATGTCAGAGGGCAGTGGGACTGTGGGAGGGAACAAACCCAAACCTGGCTGTTTGTCATCTCTTTTTACTGGCATTTACTGTTGGGGTTAGATGGGACATTGGGAAGGAATTCCTGGCTGGGAGGGTGGGGAGGCCCTGGCACAGGTTGGGCAGAGAAGCTGTGGCTGCCCCTGGATCCCTGGAAGCATCCAAGGCCAGGTTGGAGCAGCCTGGGCTAGTGGAAGGTGTCCCTGCCATGGGGTAGAACTGGATGGTATCTTTAAGGTCCCTTCCAACCCAAAGCATTCCATGAGTATTCCCTCTGGCAGTGCTGGCTGGGATCACCTCTGTGCTCCCAGCTGGCTGTGGCTTATCCATGGACTCTGTTCTCTGAATAAATCCAGGAGTTTATTCCTTTCCCCTTCCAGTGCTGAGCTCCAACCTGTGGGAGGTTTGGGAGGGAGATCACCTGGTTGCTGCTGGCCAAGCCTGGCTCTGGGAAGCTCAGACTGCCCAAGTGAGACCCCCGGGGTGGGGGGTGGTTGCCCCTCACTAATTGAAGGCTGAACCTCATTAATTGCTGTGTTCCTCCACCCCCTCTGCCACTGGGGCAGCGGTTCATGTGGAAACATCAACTCTCCAGGGCAGATCTGCTCGGACAGGCCTGGGTAGGACCCACCCCTGAGCCAGAAGAGATCAATAAGTCACGTCAGGCAGTGCCAGGGGGATGGAAAGTCTGGCCTGTGCTCCTCAGAGCCTGAAGATAAACCACCCCTTCCCTCCAGTGTCTCTTCCTAGAGAGGTCCCAACTCCTTGGATGCCTTGAAATAGGTGTGTGAAGGTGTTTCTAGACACAGATGTTTCCAGACACGTTTCTAGATGCAAATCAAAGCAGGCAACAAACAGGGAAGTGCAAAGTGAAAAATAAGATTTTGGGGTTTTGCAGGGTCAAAGGTCATCCTAAGTCTTTCCCAGGCAGAAAAGAGGCTTATGGGTGTGTGGGCTGAGTGGAGCAGCTGTCACAGCTGTGCTCTGACATGTGGTTTCATGTGTTAAATCTGGGGGCTCACAGTAGATTAATGTGATGATACTTGAGCTCATTAAGTGTGTCCCTTTCCGTGCCAGCAGGGAAGGAGAGACATATGGAATCATGGAATGGTTTGGGTTGGAAGGGATATTAAAGCCCATCCAGTGCCACCCCCTGCCATGGGCAGGGACACCTTCCACTATCCCAGGTTGCTCCAAGCCCCGTCCAACCTGGCCTTGGACACTTCCAGGGATGGAGCAGCCACAGCTTCTCTGGGCACCCTGTGCCAGGGCCTCCCCACCCTCACAGGGAGGAATTCCCTCCCAGTATCCCATCTAACCCTACCCTCTGGCAGTGGGAAGCCGTTCCCCCTTGTCCTGTCTCTCCAGTCCCTGATGCCCAGTCAGTCCCTCTCCAGCTCCCTTGGAGCTCCTCGGGTACTGGGAGGAGCTCTGAGGTCTCCACACAACCCTCTCTTCTCCTTCCCAGCCTCCTGGCCCTCACACACCTGCACTGTGTGACCTGTCCAGCTGGATCCATGGGCAGGAATGTTGGCTTGGAGAAATCACATGTTGCTGAGGACAAGTCCTGAGTTTGCAGAAGTTCTGCCTGCTCTGAGAAGGGCAGCTCTGCCCTCACAGGAACCCCGAGGCAGCACCTGCTGGGTGTGTGCAGGGTCCCCCCGTGTTCTGGTGGGACTCTGAGCAGTGATTTTGGAGTTTGGGAGCAGTCAGAGCTCAGGCCTCACCCCTGGGCAGCCCCCCTGCGGGGAGGGGGGGCTTTGGGCTGTGTCAGGAGCTGTGGGACTGTCACTTCCTTCGTGCCGGTCACGAGAAAAAACTGCGGGATCAGCAAGAAAAAACCCAAGGGGCAGTTGAAGAGAAATAAAAAAAAAAATAAAAAAAATAAAAAATAGCACTAACAGGTAGAAATCCAGGTGGGACCAAGGCAGGGAGGATTCCCAGTGGGATCACTGAGTGCAGGCCACGGTGGTGAGCAGGAATTTCCTAGAGATCGTTGGAGTTTTGGTGTCGTCGGAGCAGAAGCTGAAAGGGGAGGTGGGAGAACTCCGTGGTCCTGGCGTCCTGGAGCTCATCCCAGTGCTTGTGTTCCCAGCAGTGGGAAGCCATGGCCATCCTGTTTGCTGTCGTGGCGAGGGGCACCACCATCCTGGCCAAGCACGCCTGGTGTGGAGGGAACTTCCTGGAGGTGACGGAGCAGATCCTGGCCAAGATCCCCTCGGAGAACAACAAACTCACCTATTCCCACGGCAGGTGAGTGACCCCCGGGGGGCTGGCAGGAGAACAGGAATACACTGGCTGTGTTTGGGGTTGTTTTCCTGAAATCCTGTCGGCTTTTGCTGTCCCAAATTCCCGTGCAGCATAGCCAGGATTTAAGTTTAGCTCAAGCAGTGGATACAAAATCGAGCTTTTCTGGTTTGATACAACTCCAAAGTGAGCTGGAGCGTGCCCAGCTGGGGGACCTTTGGAGTGTGGCTTATGGAATCTTTCCCTGGCTTTTCTGAGGCTTGGACGTGGTGGATCACTTGTGGATCCTGGGGGCTTTAGGAGGAGTGGTGCTGGCAGATCACTGGAGTCATCCTGAGCTTCCACAAATCCAGAAGGGCTTTCCCAGGATTTTTCCAGCTCTCTGAACAGCACTTGGGATTAGATGGTTCATCACCTGAGACTTATTGCACCCGTGAAGTAGGTGAGTCCACGTGCTGGGGAGAAAACTAAAACCCCTGTGGCAAACAAACTAAAACAACTGTGGAAAAAACAACTTCAGAGGCCCCATTTCAGCCCTTTTTTGGGGATGGGCAGCAGGGCAGGATCCTCTCTGCTGCCCAGGCTGGTGTGTTAGAGCTGCTCTGGCTGCCTGAGGATTCAGGGTGAGGATTGGGATAATCTTCCCTCATCCTTTCCTGGTTTGGGAGCCCGAACAAGTCCCTGTGGGAGATATTTTTGAGGAAGCCCAGAGCTCTGACATACCTTGGCCGCTGCGTCTTTTCTTTCCTGCTGTAATTTTAAGGATACAGTTATTTCCTGGGAGTGAAAAGAAATAACTTTGCCTCAAATGCTGTTCAACCAACTAAAAAGCTGAGTTTGAGGAGGGCTGCAGTGCATTTTTAGAGAGAACTGGGCAGAACAGGAAAGCTGGGAAGCTACAACGAGCACGAGGAGCTGTTCCTCCTGTCTGGAGTGTTCCAGGGATCCTCTGCCTTGCCACATTCCCAGCCTGGCCAGAAAATTCCCTGATGTCTTTCTAAGAGAATTTCTCTTCTTCTGAAACAGGAAAAAAACTCGAGTTCCTTTGAACTTCGAACTCCTCAAACTCATTTAATGGGTTCTGTTTGTTTTTAAGAAGAACTTCTGTGTGTTTTTTATACTCTCCAAGGAAAACCAGCCATCAGGAATTCTGTCTCTGCTGTTTGGATTCTTCTAGGAATCACTGGAGAGCCTGCAAGGTGGTGTCAGACAAGCTGCACCTCACTCCTTGCAGGACAGTTGTGGATATGCCAGGATTTTTTTTTATCTTTTCATGGAAACAGACCCTCAGGGCAGTTCTAGCCTACTCCTAAAACTTATTTTGGCCTTGTCTTAATGTTACAAGACAAAACCTGAGTGTGGAGCTCCTGAGCTGTACCCTTGGAGCTGGACAAGGCAAGGCTGTGCAGAAGAATTAATTTGCTTTATTCTGGAGTTTGTAAGAGGTTCCAAGTGCTTCCTGGGGGGAAGCTTTTGGGAATGCACAACTGTCTCCTTCCCCAGCCCCTGAAGGCCCCACAGGCAGCAGTGTCTTCTAGAAAATGAGTCCTGTGGCAGCTCCAAATGATCTTTTTTTTCTCCCTTCTTTTCAATTCTCTGCAGTTACCTGTTCCACTACATCTGCCAGGACAGGATTATTTACCTCTGCATCACAGATGACGTGAGTATTTTGTTCCCAGCAGGTCTGGGAATCCAGCTGTCAGTTTTTAGTGGGTGCTGGTCTGAGGTGCCTTTTCCTCCATGGAAGATGCTCGTGTTCTCATTCCCACTGGTTGCAGCTCTGATGTCTAAGCCTGGAACTCCAGTTGTAGACTCACAGAATGGTTTGGGTTGGAAGGGACCTTAAAAATCATCAGGGACACCTCCCACTGCCTGTGAGTTGGTAGTTTTGAGGTGAAGTCCTTGGTTTTCCTGGTTCCTCTCCCAGAAGTGCCAGGGCAGTGGGATGGGGATGCAGGGACCGGTTCAGTTGTCAGGGCCTGGTGCTCCTCAATTCTGGAAGTGCTGAAGCCAAAACTTCTCCCTCACTGCAGGAAGGTGCCAGGCACTGAATTAGAACTGTGGATATCCAGGCTGGGAATGCAGCCTGGAAACAAGGCAGGGGGAATTCACAGTGGGATCACCGAGTGGTAATAAAAGAGCGCTGTGGCTGCTCTTCCAAGCCCTGGGATAAGCAGCCCAATGCCAGTGTCACACACACAGACACACCAGTTAGGACTGGGAGTTACAGTCCCTCTGTGAGTGGCTCTGTGCATGCTGTCATTCCTGGTGTCTCTGCTCTCTCTCCCAGGACTTTGAACGCTCCCGAGCCTTCACGTTCCTGAACGAGATCAAGAAGCGGTTCCAGACCACGTACGGCTCCCGAGCCCAGACAGCCCTTCCCTATGCCATGAACAGCGAGTTCTCCAGTGTCCTGGCAGCACAGCTGGTGAGCCCTGTGGCTCCAGGGCACTTCCCTGGCAAGCCAGACCTGCCCCAGGAATTCTCCTTGGGTTTGCTCCCTGGGAAGTGCGTGTGGGGCCGGGCAGTGGGTTGTGCTCCCCACGCTCACCCCGCAGCACCCCACAGTTCAGGGGGGAACTGGGGAGGGAGGAACTGTTTGGATCAGGAGATCAGAGCTTAATGGGAACACTGGAAATGTCCAGGCTGGTTCCAGTTACCACCCAGTGCAAGGGAAGGTGGCTGTCACTGAGAGCAGGACAAAGGTGCGGTACTCCTTTGCTGCTCAGCTTCAGAACTTGAGTGTCTGCTGATCCCTGACTGCCTTTCCCTTTTCTCCTTCCCTTTTTCCTTCTCCTTCTCCTTCTCCTTCTTCTCCTTCTCCTTCTCCATCTCTATCTCCATCTCCTTCTCCTTCTCCTTCTCCTTCTCCTTCTCCTTCTCCTTCTCCTTCTCCTTCTCCTCCTTCCCCTTCCCCTTCCCCTTCCCCTTCCCCTTCCCCTTCCCAGCAATTCCAGTGGCTGCTGGAGTGTGACAGGGTGTTTGCTGGTGGCACTGTGGCCTTTCCAGGAGCAAAGACAGCTGGGCTTGGGTTACACCAAGTGCAGGACTGTGGTGAACTCTCCAGCTTGCACTGAGGCTCCGAGGGTTTCCATTCCCAGCATAGGAGGAATGGAAGGAAGGAGGTTCAAGAGCAGGATAAATAACCTGTGACAGGTCCCTGAGTTGAGATTTGCCTTGGATGCTTCCAACCCCAAAATGAAAAGGGTGAGGGGAGTGTCCCTCCCCCCCGAGCTGGGATGGAGTTCAGGATGCTGCATTCCCAGGCTGTGGAACACTGTGGTGCTGGCAGGGGGAGCTGCTCCCCTGCCGTGGCTCCAGCCTGGATCCTGCACAGGCAGAACACTGTCAGTCTCCTTCCATAGAAATTCCCAGGTTTCAGAGGACTTTTTTGGCGACTCTGGGGCTGTTCTTGGACTCCTGGAAGGAAAGGTGGAGTTGGAGTTCACTTCTCTCTTGGAGTGCGGGAGTTCTGTGCTGGGCTCTGGCAGAGCCTTGATGTCCAGCCTGTTTTTGGGAGAGCTCTTGGCTTGCTCTGGGTTTGGATTTGTGTGTTTGAGGTGTCACACAGGAGAGGGTGGAAATATTTGGGTTGTTTCATCTCTTTTATTCCCAGCAGCATTTGAAGGAAGGTTTGCATCTCCCTCCTAGAACCAGATGCATTTCCCAGAGCAATCAGTTAATTGTCTTCTAATTAACTTGCCTTCCCTTGCTGGATAACCAGGCTCTGCAAACACCCTGTGCTGCTGCAGTGGGGGTTTTGTGGGGGAGAGGGAGGGGGTAGAGCAGTTTTTTGGGTTTGGGATTGGGCTGCTCTTAAAACGTGAGCTTCCTGTAGAGGGAATGGTGCAGTTTGGGCTTTTCCCTGGGATTTGGGCTGCAGAGCTGCTCTCCCAGCACCCCCAGCAAGGGCTGGGGGAAGGGCAGGGAATTCCTACAGGGAATAGTAGCAAGTGAAATGAGTGGAGCCAGCTGGAAGATGGAGAAGGAATAAAGAACTGCTTGGTGACTGCAGATCAATAATGTTATTAGTGCACAAACCCTCAGGCTGCAGGGCTGCAAGGAAGGGCTTTGGATCTCTTAAGAGCCCTTAATTGACTACAAACAACTCGGTAACCTGGTTTGGGGTGGTTTGTGGGGCTTTTTTTTTTTTTGAGATCTCCCTTGAATTAAAGCCAAGATGTCCTTGGAATGTTGGCTTTCAGGGCTTGTCCACCCGGGGCTGTGGGGTGGGAGTTCTCAGTGCTCTCTGCTGTGCCTGGGGAGGGGGTTGGTGCTGCTGTTCTCCGTGGAGGCCTTGGCTCTTCTGATCTCTGGGAAGTGCCAGCTTTGGGGGTGCTGCAGGTGCAGGAGGAGGGGAAGAGCTCTGGCTTCTCAGTGTAGGAATTCTGGCCCACTCCCAGTTCGTGTTGAGGTGCAGGGGGAAGCAGGACCCTGAGGTGAGTGAAGGTAAAGGGAGGATTTGCCCTTGCACTGCTGCTGCTTGAAGTTTGTCCTGGAATCTGGGACAGGGGCCACGTGTGGGTGCCCACAGCGAGTGGGGAAGGGGGTTTGGAGAGTCCCAGGAGTTCATTTCGGGAGCAAGGACAATGTCAGTGCATAATAAACGAGATGAACTTCCTGTGGGTGATGGGATGGAGTTTTCCTTCTCCACCAGGCTTTGACATGTGAGGACTGAACCTACCCAAAGTGCTGGCTCAGCACTTTGTAAGCTGCTCGGGGCTGGAGTAAGTTTAATGAGTTGCCTTATCGGAAGAGCCAGGCGGTTTTTGGAGCTGATATTCCCCTAAAATCCCAGCTTTTCCAGGTCCCTAAAGCTCAGGAGGAGCTGCCTGTCTCAGCTCCTGCATATGGATGGAGTCCAGGCCTCAGCCAAGAGCAGTTCAGTGCTGGCAGAGCTCTTCCCTCCCTGCTCCAGGCTGGCAGCCTGGCTGCCGGGTCCTTCCTGCAGGAGCAGGGATGTTTGCCAGGTGATCCCTGTCACTGGTGGGAGGCAGAGATCCCACTCCAGCTCAAGGGCAGCACACACATAATCCTGGGAAGGGGGGCTGTGCTTCCAGTCCAACCAGTGAGTAGCTTTGATAGTGGGCCAGTCTGCACCTTCTCCCAAAACTCTCCACTGGGGCGGTTCCAGAGGAGCTGTTGGAGTGGGTGCTGTGCCCACGAGTTACCAGGTGGGTGCTGTCAGTGTTAGACTCTGTCAGATATGGATTTCAGTTAAACTCCTGTCCAGAAGAAAACTGGGATTGAAGCAGCCAGGTGGGTGATCATGGAGCAGAGCAGCTGTGATGGGATCAGGGACTTAAAATCCATGCAGGAAGAGCAGAACTCAGTTCCCTGATGCCACTGGCCCTTGGTTTCCATCCTGGGGTTCTGCAAACCCTGAGGCTCCTCTAAGCTGGGGGTTGGCTCGTGCTGCTCCCACCCCCCTGAGCTGGGCAGGCACTGGGGGATCACTGGGGTCCCAACTGGGGGAACTGGAGTCACTGTCACTTCCCAAGGGAATGAAGGGGCAGGGCTGACAGGAGTGGTGCAACAGGGAACACACCAGAGGGGCTGGAGAGCAGCAAAGCTCTTGGCAGGTGAGCTGGGAGATCCTCCTGGGTGGGTCCAGGCCGTGGGCTGGCCCTTGGCTGCTCCTGTATCCTGCTCCTGTTGGGACACTCCAACTGGCCACCTTCAACATTCCCAGTCCACAGGCACTCCTCACCTTCACTGGATCCCCCCCCGATCCCACCTGTCCCCTGGGATTGCAGGGACCCCTCGATGTGCTCTAGAGAAGCTCATCAAAGTGTGTTGCCTTCAGAAATAGTTCCGAGCTGAGGAGTGGGGCTGGGACCCCTGACAGGGACCCACAGCTCCTGCCTCCTGCCTTAACTTCCCTTCCCTGCTGCCAGTTGCTTCCACTTCCAAAGGGGACTGTCACTTCTGGGCCCTCTGGGCACCAGTGTGGGAGCAGAGGGGGGGTGAGATCTGTAAATGGCTGAAAAAGCCAGATTTTGGTCTTCCACCCACTGATAAACCTCTTGGGTGGTTTGAAAACTCCCGTTTCTGTCCGTGCTGTTCTGCAGGGACCCGAGTTGCCTTTGTTTGTGTTGCAGACCTGAAGTGGAACGTTGAGGCTCCTGTTTTCACTGACTGTTGTTGTTGAGGTCCTGTTTTCATTGACTGTTCTTTATTGAGCTCCTGCTGTCGCTGACTGTTGGTTTGTTGAGGTCCTGCTGTTACCAACTGTTCTTTATTGAGGTCCTACTGTAACTGCCTGTTCTTAGTTGAGGTCCTGCTGTCACTACCTGTCCTTTTTGAGCTCCTGCTGTCACTGCCTGTCCTCTGTTGCAGAAATACCACTCGGAGAGCAAAGGCCCCGACCAGGTGGCAGAGACACAAGCCCAGATCGATGAACTCAAAGGAATCATGGTCCGGAACATAGGTACCTGCTTCCCTTGGGAAAAGCTGCCTGGAGCCTCTTTCGCTTTGTGTCACACCAGTCTGGGTTTTGACAAGTCTGACTGTTCAAAAGAGAGCTGGAATTTACCCAAATTCAGTCCCCAAACACAGCCCCTGTGATGAGAGGCTGCTCCTGAAAGACCTGGCAGTGCCAGGAAGGCTGGGAATTGCATCCAAGGGCTCCTGGCTTAGGGCTGGGTGTTGGAAGCAGCTTTTTGCACTGGGATTCTACCTTCCAATCTGGATTTTTTGTCTCTTTTCTCCAGACCTTGTGGCGCAAAGAGGGGAGAAGCTGGAGCTGCTGATCGATAAAACAGAGAATCTCGTGGATTCGGTGAGTCTGGGGGAGAACCTGGAACTGGGAAATGGTGTTCCTGCACCCCAGGGAGCAGGGCAGGGAGACACCAGCACCCAGAGACACTTAGGCAGACACAGGAGCATGGAGTCCTGCAGGGAACCCTTCCCTGGGTTGTGTCTTATCCCTGCCCTCCTTACAGCTGATTCCCAGCTGCCTCCCAGCCTGGGAAAGATCCAGATAAACTGGAAAATGTGAATCCCTGCAGTTGTGATGATACAACAAAGGGGAAAGTGGAGCTGGTTTAAAATAAAAATCAACCTGAGCTGTTCCACCTAAAGAGTCTGTGAAGACTCTGGAGCTTCTCTGAGTGTTTCTAAAGGAGGGAGGACTGAAAAAAACCCTAAATTTAATGTGATTCTAAAGCAGTGTTATCTGGTAAAGTGCCCAGTTCCGGTGGCATCCAACACTCCAAAGCCAATCCTGGAGTTCCTGGATCTTGTGGGGTGAGGCTCGTGGGGACCTCTAAGGTGTCAGGAAGCCCTCGTGCTTTGGAGAGGCAGGAGAGGTGCCTGGAGCTTATCCAGCAGGAATATTGTCCTCCAGCTCCCAGGTGTGCAAACCTTGCCAGGTCCTCAGGTGGGAATGCTGTAGGGAAAGAGACTGGAATTCCTTCAGGAATTGGGCTGCGTTCCCGTGGGAGCTCTCCCAGGGAGTGCTGGTTCTTGGAAACCATGCAGGAAATGAAGGGATGGGATGTGTCCAGTGGGAATGTCCTACCTGAGTGTCCTGAGAGATCCAGGGCTGATGTTCTCCAGCCTGGGAATGGGCTCTAAGTCAGGAGTGCAGTTCACAGGGATGCAGTTTCCACCTAGGAGGTGGTTTGTGGGAAAATGGCAATTCCCAACAGTGAGCTGCTGGATTGGCTGGATCCAGCCACTGCTGCCTTTCCCTGGGCAGGAGCATCCTGGGAATCCCTGCCTTGACCCAGCTGTTTGGGGTTGTTTGGTGACCAAAAGCTATTTTGAAGGAGTGGAATTGCAGGATACAGAGAGGAGACTTGGAGTGGGACAACCACAGGCTTTCCAGAACAGCTTGCCCAGGGAAGCTGTGGCTGCTCCATCCCTGGAAGTGTCCAAGGCCAGGTTGGACGGGGCTTGGAGCAACCTGGGCTAGTGGAAGGTGTCCCTGCCCATGGCAGAGAGAGGAAAATATGATCTTCAAGGTCTTTTCCAACCCAGACCATTCTATGACAGTGTAAAACGCAGGAGGCCCAAGTTCTGGAGGAATGTTCAGGCACTGAAGGACTTGTCTCACCCCTGGGGTTTGGCTGGCAGGAGTGGCCCTATGGATTGTCCCAGTTTGGCAGGTGTATTTACACTAATGGATTATGTTGGGGATTAGATCAGTGGATCTGTAAATATTTTGGAGCACTTCAGTTCCCAAAAGGTCAGAAGTGAGATGAGAACCCCACCAGTACTCTGAGACAGACCAATCCCTGTGGGCAGCCCCCAGACCTGGGAATATTCCATGTTTAATCCTTCCAAGCTGGCTCTGGATTTACTCACACACTTTATCCTGTCCCTGGAGTTATGGGAGAGTTTTCTCTTGCTGCCTGTTCAGTTTTGTGCAGGAGTTAAATGGCTCTGGAGGAGAAAACTGCCATGGGTTGGGGAAGTAGGGAAAAGCTTGGCTCTTCTTGGGATCCGGCTTCCTTTGGGAATGAATTCCTTGTTTTCCTTTCCCTTGCAGTCAGTCACTTTCAAAACAACCAGCAGGAACCTCGCCCGGGCCATGTGCATGAAGAACCTCAAGCTCACCATCGTCATCATCATCGTGTCCATTGTAAGTGTGGAGAACCTGGGAAGTGTGGAGAGCCTCTGGAAAACACCAACACCTGTCCTTGGATGCACGTGTTGCTGCAGGGAGGGGCAGGGGGAGGAGGGCGTTGGCCAAGTTCTTTAGGGGGTTGGTAACTGGGGTTTCCAGGTGTGTGGCAGTTGAGCGAAGGATGGAAATCCCTCATTCTCTACAGAATTCCCGTTTTCCCTCCCCAGGTGATCCTCTACATCATCCTCTCAGCAGTGTGTGGTGGGCTGGCCTGGCCCAGCTGTGTGCAGAAATAACCAGAGCTGCTGCTGGGCCCTTGGAGATGAGTCCCAGGAGTGTGAAGAAGCAACCTACGGAATAACTCACCCGTCACCTCTGCCACCTCCTCATCCCTCCATCCCTCCAGGACTTCAGACTTTTTTGCCTTATCACCCCAGAGGGGCCCAGAGGGAGCTGTGACCTCCAGAGTGGGCTGGGCTGGATTACTTGAAGGGATTTCTTTGTTCCTTTTCCTGTCCCCACGAATGCCTTCCTTCCCTGTGTCCCTGTGGCTTTGCACTCGGATGGGGAACGGGCCTGGCCTGCCTGTGAGGATGGAGCCAGAGGGTGGTTTGGGGTGGGCTGAGCCAAACTAACAGGGCAGGGATGAGATGGTTTGAGTTTCCACAGTTCCTGGAGATGCACACCTGGCCACGTGTGGCTCTCAGTGCTTCAACACGGGAAGGTCACGGCTCTAATCCTGGTGGGAACAAAACGAACGGGGCTTTGTGCACTGAGAGGTGGGAAATCTCCCTTTTCCCGGGGAGTTTTCCTGCAGGTAGGGGGGTCACCTCAGCGTTTGGAATGGCTGCCTCTTCATCCTCACTTCTTCCTCATCTCCCCCCTTGGTTTGTGGCTGGGTGGGCACAGTAAAGGAGGCGGCTGCTCGTGGTTCCGGCCGCAGTCACGGATCTGCTTTCTCCCAGGTTATTTCTCCTGCTGTTCTTTGGAGGGTGGATTGGAATGAGTACAATGCTGGCACTGGCTGGGGTGAATTTGGGGGCCAATCTGTTGCTCTGGCTTGATCAGGTGTCAGGGAGCTGCTGCTTGTGCTTCTCCTCCTGTGAGTGCTAAAACCACAGGACAGAGAAGGGCTGGAGGTGCTGCCTGGGGACTCCGAGGGCTGAGGGAGAAAGGCTCTGCCAGAGGCAGGAATGGGCTCCTCTGGGAAGAGTTCAAACCAAACCCAAGGCTGAGAACCAAAAGCAGGCTCAGCTGGGCTGTTCCTGTCCCAGCTGCTCCCCTGAAGCACCAGCCAGGCCTGGCTCCTGGGGGAGTGGTGTCCACACTTGTGTCCTGGAGCTGATGGGCTCCTGTCCCAGAGAAGAACCAGAAACACCCTCCACGTGGGCTCCAAAGGAATCTGCTCCCTTCATCCCAGGGAAGTGGGGTGGGGTGGTGGTACAGGAAGGGGTGGCTTCCTTTGGGGACGTGGTTGGTGCTGTGGGGTCCTGGTGACACAGGGAGGGGGGTGATGTGACACTGCTGCTCCTTCACTGTCACACCCACCCTGCAGCTTCCCAGCAGCTCCCACAGAAAGAGTTCTCTAAACTTGCAGCTCCTTTGGATTTGTGTTCTGCTGGGCCCAAACTTCACCAAGGGTGATGGGACTTGGATCCCCCCCAGTAAGAGAGGCCACTGGCACCTGCCTCTCTCCCTGTAAATGGAATGTAAAGCTTGGAGAAAGCCCCCCCTCAGCTCCTGCAGCCCCTGTACAGCTGTGCATGTTTAGGGGGCCTGGTGTTCACCCTGTTCATTGCCATGATTTCTTGTCTTATGTACAAACAATTTTTAAAGGAAAAAAAAAAATCCTTCCTTTCCTTTCCAAGGATGCACTGAGGCATTAGTGTAAAAACAAAAGGTAACTTGATTGATTTCAATAAAATTCCTGTACAGAAAGCAGAGCTCCTTAGTTTTGTGGAAGCCTTTCCACCTACCTCGGGAATGCTGTTAGGGTTTGGAAGCAGGTTCGTGTATCAGGATGAGGGAGCTGGATTTCCTTTGGAACCTGCAGAAACTGTTTGAGTTGCTGATTATTATCTTGGTTGCATTTTAATGCTACCAGCCAGGGCTCAGGATGCTGGAGGATGTTGGAGGCTGAAGGGAGAGCCCTGGGGGTGAGAACAGCTTGGAAAAATGGAATGAGAAAACCTGAATGAACAGCTCCCTAGTGGGATGGGTCTGGGGTTGGTGCTCAGTGTTCCCCTCCTGAAGCTGCTTACAAGTGTTTGTCAGCATCAGATTTGTATTTAAAATTCCCATGAATCCAAGCAGAATCCAAGCTCAGCACACCTTTTTGCTTCTCTGGTCAGCCTGGAACTGTGTATCCAGGTCTGGATCTCCACGGCCATCCAGGCTGCAGAGAGACCATCCCACCTGCCTGACAGGCTCTAACTAGAATGTCACCTTCAATCATTAACATTTATCTGGTGGGAAGGATCCATAAAAAATAGCAGCTCTCACCTCAGGCAGTGCCTGGAAAACACCAGTGTGCTCCCACCTTTGGAATATAATAAAGGCAACAGGAGTTGCCTCAAATAGTACAGAAATCAAAGAGAAATGTTGCTGCTCTTTTACCTTTCAGTGCACTGGGAAGGCAAGACCAATGGGAGCAGGTTCCACCAGCTGGAAATCTCAGAAAAGAATGTTTTCCATAAAGGAAACAAAGAGGAAGTGCTGGGAAGGTGCTGAGCTCTGTCAGGGTGGGGAGAAGCCTGCTGTTGTAAAACCAGCTGAAGTTTGGAGTCAGAGAAGGAGCAGTTGAGGCTCATGTGCCTCTTCTCTGCCCTGGAAAAGTCCCTAAGTGGTGGCACTGTCCCTGTAGGTGATGTGACTGGGTGACACAGGACCACCAACTGTCTGTTCCTCTCTTTTTCCTCAATCTCTGCAGTGAGGGGCCCTGGCAGAACTCCCTGGATTTGGTTCTGCTTAGGCCACGTGTGGATGTTTTGGGAATGACACAACCAAAGTTTTCCTTTGCCAACACGCCCCTTGTCCTTCTGAACTCCAAGGAATTCAAGGGAAATCTCACTCCTTGCATCCTGAGAGACTTGGATGGAGGCCTGTTTACCCAGGAAGAGCTCTAAGAGAGCCCAACCTGTCAGGAAAAGCCTCTTCCCTGGCACAAAACTCACTCCAAGTCAGGCTGGCTGTTGGAATAAAGCAGATCTCGTTCAGCACCATAACATTTTATTAAACTACACTATTTCAAGGTCACATTGATGGCAGGGAGAACGTTGCTATCAGTGCATATTTCCTGGACTAAGACTGTTTGGAGCATCCAGCACTTGCTGAGGAAAAGGACACTGGAACAGAATCCTTAAGAGACAGTAAAAAACTTCTACAAAAGTCAGGGCAGTTGGGAACCAGCTGAGAGATCAGACACTTCAAGCCAAAGCTGTCAGGGAGGGTTATTTTTGTTTTAAAGTTTGCTCTTACCTGGTGGTAACCTCCTCTCAGCTGAGGTAAGGTGGTGCTGGGAACCAGCAGTTTTGAACTGGCCTCCCCTGTCCCTGCCTGTTCACACCCCACACAAATATTGTGTACTGCTCCTTCACTCGTGGCCTGTGCTGACACCTGCATACAACAGTTTGAAGTGTTCTACAGTTATAAAAACCTGCTGCAGCTCTAGACCAAACCATAAAAAGTAGCAGAAATACATTCTATACAGAAGTAAAAAAAAAAAACAACCAAACAACCAATCAAAAAAAAAAAAACCAAAACCCAGTTGAGTTTCAGACAAATATTAGAGCACATCAGGTTGGATTTAAAAAGTCTTAATTCTAACACCTATGTCACTATTTCTAGTCTCCCCGAGCTCTGCCGCCCCACAGCACCGGCTCAGAGCTGCTTCCCGGCACAGAGAGGACCCTCCCAGCCTTCCCAGCACCCTCAGGAGCAGGGTCACAGCCCAGCTCGGGGGTGACAGACCTTCCCAAGGGCTGCAGGCAGGGGGGCAGATGAAATAAGGCCATTTGCAGTCTTCCTGGGAAGACTCGTGGTGGGTGGAAGCCGTTGCCGGTCCCGCCGCGGCGAGGTCGGGCTCTTGGCAGAGCAGCAGGTGGAGCTGCTTCCCAGGAATCCGAGGAATATGTACATGAGTCTGCAGGGAGAGGGGGCTGGAGGCTCCTTGCCCAGGGAGGTGATGCCCAGCCAGCTGGGGCTCTGCTCCACGGAGGTGCTGGGGGGTCAGTAGCACCCATCCTTCCAGGAGTCGTCCTCGGGGGCCGGGGGGGTCTGTGCCGACTGAAGGAACCTGGGTTGGGACAAAAAAACCACCTCAGTGAGCTGTGATGGCCACAGGTTGGAGGATTTACCACCATCAGCATCTCCCTGCCCCGGGGGAACTGCTGCTGGCACACCCTGGGCACCAGCAGCACCAATTCCAGGCAGTTCAGGGGAATTCAGTGACTGACAGTGATCCTGCCAAGCTACCAACACCTTTTACTGGGGGGTTATCCCATCACTGAGCCCAAGAGAAAGAAGTTTTCCCTGCAAATAAAGCTGAACACATGAAAAATAATCAGGTTTGCAGACTGCTGCTACAAATTATGAGACTAAAAGCTCTCTTTTTAATGTGTGTTTGAAGAAAGTAGACATATTTCAATTTAAGGCTGCAAGGACACATAAAATAAGCAACCCTGTTTGCTTATTAGTCTGATATCAGCCATATAATAATAATAATAATAATAATAATAATAATTATTATTATTATTATTATTATTATTTCCCTCAATCATGAAACTCTGCTGTACAATTGTAGCTGCAAAAAAATAGCAACAAGAACAAAAATTGTAAGGTTTTGGCCACCACTCTACGTGCTCTGCTTTCACCCTGTGGTATAAACCATGTTTAAATCAAGCCTTGTTCATTTGTCTGACTTTTCAAACCCTTCTAAAACCTGATTAGGCTTTGGACAACCTACAGACCTGGCTAAAGACTAAGGAAATAAAAAAACCACCACGTGTATTTTACCAGAGGCAAAGTTTCAGAGGCACCAAAGTAGGTCAGCTGGGAAGACTTCCTTAACAGTCCTTTGGAAGGGTTTTTCCCCTTCCCAAAAATAAAAGTATGCACCAAATATGTGCCATAATGTTCATCTTCGTTTTTAACACAAATCAGTTTGAGCTTCTTCATTTTCCTGGCAACCACCTCTGTTTAAAAAAAAGCATTTATTTTTTAAAATGGATTTGATATTGAGAGGTTTGCTCATAGATTATGTGGTAAAAAGGGGCATCTCTCACCAAGTGATGAGTCCCAGCCTGGCAGTTCACACAAAATTCAATGGCAGAGGTATTTAAGGGACTGGCACTCTTTGCTTCTTGATTCACTGGCCAAGAATCTTCCAAGCTGAGCCCCTTCCTGTCTTTGAGGGTCCCCAGCCACAATCCTACACTGGAACAGACTTCCCAGGGTGGACTCTCAGTGGTGGAGTCCCCATCCCTGGAAGTGCTCAAAAAACGTGTGGATGTGGCACTTGAGGACACGGTTCAGTGGTGAACAAGGTGCTGGGGATGGATTGACCTTGATGATCTTAAAGGTCTTTCCCAACCTTAACAATTCTGTGATTTTATGATTCCATCTAAAGGTATTCAGTAGCTCAGACCCAGCTCCATACCCACATCCCACTTCAGAGATGGAGATGGAAGTGACTTAAGGAATTCTCCCCTAGGAGGGTGGGCAGGCCCTGGCACAGGGTGCCCAGAGAAGCTGTGGCTGCCCCTGAATCCCTGGAAGTGCCCAAGGCCAGGTTGGACAGGGCTTGGAGCAACCTGGGCTAGTGGGAGGTGCCCCTGCCATGGGCTGGATGGGCTTTAATGTCCCTTCTAACCCAAACCAGTCTGGGAGTCTGTGGCTCTTGACTCACCTTTGTGCTCCATCCCTGAGAGCTGCCAACCCCTCCTGGCCCCGCTGAGGGGCTCTTTGGATCCGTGGTGTTTTCTGGGGGGCTGAGGGACACAGCCTTTTCCTCCCTTCCCTCCTCATTTGGAGCCTTTCCATGCCAGGCCCACCTGGTATCTCCCGAGTGAGTTCTTCTTTCAGGAAGGTTTGCCCTTGGCTACTTCCAGCCCAACCCAACCCATTCCGTGATTTATAAAGAAGTTTTCCTAATCTGTGAACTAAAGGCAGGCGCTGGAATCCACGAGGTCTGAAGCTCCCACTCACCTCCTGGACGGCGGCGGCGCCTTTCCCTTGGGCACCGCGATCCCTCCGACAGCCGGCCGTGCCTTCAGGGCCGAATGTTTGGCCGCGGTGACCATGGTGGTGGTTCTGGAAGTGCAACTGGTGCTGGGAGAGCCCGTGTGAAGCGAAGGGGCCTGTGGCTTCCTGACTGCGGAGCCGGGAGCTGTGTAGCCGCAGGGTTTCACCGCCTGCCTGGTGGCCAGCAGGGAGTTGGTGCCCGAGCCGGCCTTCCCGGGCTGTCGCACCGTCAGCGGGGACTGCCCGGCACCCGAGGAATACCTGAGCTTGCTGGGAGTCAGACCTGCCCGGGGAGCACAGCAGGAAAAACACTTCGGGTTGGTTCAAGAGGGAAAAGGGGACTAAAGTGGGTGTGGGAGATGCGGCACTGACCTGCTGACCGCTGCTGAGTCCTGGGAATTCGGCTGCTGGGCACCTGCAGGTCGGACTCCAGGCTCCGACTGCTCCTCACGGAGTCGAGCGCGCGCAGGCTGCTCCTGGCCAGGTTGGGCATGCTGTGCCTCAGCTCCTCTGCAAGCAAAGCACAGCCCGTTCGCTGCTGCTGCCGCCCATGGAGGTCACCGTGGTTTAGGCTGGCTCTTGAAAAACGCGCTTAG